TAGTATCGTGGTCAATCTAGGGGTATTGAATTTAGATATTACGTGATCTGCTGTATGAGTAATATCATTACGAAAAAGGTTACTAAGAAATTAGAGGAGGCAAATAGAAGTTACACAATTATTTTGTAATTCTTCAATTTTTCATATTTTTAATTCTGGACTAATGGTCTTATTCCTTTTAATTTACGACGAAATCAACACAATGAGAGACGGTTTAACAAAAACATTAGTTAAGATTATGGGTTGATAAACAATTAGTGTAGTTGAGTTGTCAAAATGTTGATACTAACCGTTGAATATAGGTTTTTTAGTTGATTGTTGATTAGGTTTAGTTCAACTAGGGATTAGTTAAGTTATTGGTTAGGTTTAGTTAAAGAGAAAATGACAAAAAATGATTCCTAAATTTCAAAATCCCCAAATGGTCACCTAAATAAGCAAAATTCCAGTTTAGGTATGGGTGATCAAATTGGAATTTGCAAGTTGGCTGAAATAACCATATTGTCCTTTATTTTTATCAAGAAAAGAAATCAAACACCCTCACCGACTAGCTAGTCGTCAGAGTTTAAGTGAGCCACCATCACCAAAGCTCCGCCAATTGGCCGACGACTAATCACTGGAGCTCCAACGACAAGCATTTATTTTTTGGGGGATTTTTTTCAAGTCCAGTAATGTAATTAACAAGTTCTCTAATGCTATTAACAAGTTTGGTGTAGCAGTTAACAATAGGTTTTTCAAAAAATTCAAAAAGTGGCATTTTTAAAACTTGAATAATGCGGTTAACAAGATCTGTAATACTATTAACAAGTCCAGTATAATTGTTAACAATAGGTTTTCCAAGAAATTCATAAAGTAATATTTTTACAACTTCAGTAACGTGGTTAACATGTCATGTAATGATATTAACAACTCTCATAGTGCCATTAACAAAATTTCCCTATAAAGGTTAATGTTTTTAATACTAGCTCCCTGTAAAGGTTATACAACAAAATTTTTCCATTTATTAGACAGTCACTATGGTTATGAGAGTTATTAATATCATTACATAACTTATTATTATAGTTGTTAGTGGTATTATGAGAGTTGTTAATATCGTTACATGACTTATTAACCAAGTCACTGAAGTTGTAAATATGCCATTTTGAATTTTTCAAAAAACCTATTGTTAAATGCTATACTAAACTTGTTAATAGCGTTACTTAGCTTGTTAACTACATTACTAAAGGTATAAAAATGCTACATTTTGAATTTCATGAAAAACCTGTTATTAACTGCTATACTGAACTTGCTAATAACGTTAAAAAAACATTTTAATTGCATTATTGGACCTAAAAAAATCCCCAAAACAATAGTTGTCAGCTGCCGAAGCTCCAGCAGCCAGTCTTCGAAGCTTTGGTGACAGGTAACCTACCTAAACTCTAGCTGGGGTGCCAGCGGCCAGTCTTCGAAGCTTTGGTGACAGCCAACCTACCTAAACTCTAGCGGCCGCCCTGGCACCGGAGCTCCAGTGACCGGCTAGGCAATGAGGGTGTTTGGTGTTTTTTTTAAAATAATGGGCAATATGGTCATAACAGAAAATTTGCAAATCCCAATTTAGTCACCTATACCTAAACTGAAATTTTGCTTATTTAGATAATCATTTGGTGATTTCATTATTTAACTATCATTTTTCTATCTTTTTTCCTTAGTTGAATTATGATTAGAAATTTTGGTTATCATAGTGTTAGATTTGAGTTTTGACATTAAATGGCAATGAATTGTTCATTGAGTTTTAGTTGAATTTTAGTTCAATTGTTCATCGAAAATATTGGCTTAGCATTAAATTGGTTTGTCAGCTAGAATTGGTCTGTATTGATTTAGTTCAATGAGGCGAGGTTCTATATGGACATCAGTTATGTTCATTGTGGAAAGTTACTTTTCATGGCAGTTAATAAAAAATTGCATGCAAAGTTGTCCATAAACAACAGTTATGGAGGACTTTCCATAGTGGTATTTTACTAAACACTACCGTGAAAAGTAATTTTCTACAGCAATATTGTAACCATCATTAAAGTCTAGTTTATTACGTCGATAACATACGCCGCCTTTGAAACCATAGTAAAAAGTCCTTTTTAACTACCGTAAAAAGCTACAGTAGTGTTGAGAAGAATAATTGAGAATTTTAAACTGTGTAATATTGTGTGTTATACTTGACAGTTTTTAGAACACAATCGTCATATTTGTTGAATCATACTTCACGGTTCATTGTGAAAGATCGTCATGTTCCAATATTAATACATGATGGTTTGGCATTAGAACTATCAAGTATTTTTGCTTCATTTTTTTTAATTATGGGATACTTCTTTTTTTAGTAGCTCCTTACATTACTTACATAAATATACACAAAAGCAACATATTACAGAACCAATTAATTAACTAAAATAATAGGAACATTTTTTTGCCAGTAATAGAAACTTATATGTACAAGTATATTTACAATTATTTTTGAATGTGTCATATAGATACAAACATTTATAAAAGTCAGAAACCTATATTCTAAGTGGTAAATTTTGTATCTATATATGGCAAATGGCCAGGACAACTAAAACCAAAATTGGCTATGTACATATATTACTTCCGATTCTTAATATAAGACCTTATTTAACTTTTTTTTTGTCTTAAATATAAGACCTCAATCCACTTTATCTCTCAAATTTATTCTCTTTTTTTATAATAGTCATTTTAATAATAGTAATTCTAACCAATAAACTGATTAGCAAGGATATTTTAGGAAAGACAACACATATTTATTACAAATAACTAACTTAATTTATTTTCTTAATCTATTCAAATTAGTTAATTAACTCTTATATTTAGGACTAGAGGTAGTATAAAAATATTAAAATCAATATTGCCTAATTTAACTTGTATATATGTATTGTATAGCTATCTTTGCATCAGCCATTGATGAAGCATGGTAGTAGCCAACTCCTCTAAGAATTCATCCACTTGAGCGGGTGAATATTATTGGGAATATACATTCTCAAAGTGCTGCATGCAAAAATAAACAAATTATCAAACTTATAGCTTGATAAATTTGAAAGTATAAATTGAACTTTGAACATATGCATACATACATTATTAGGAAAAGTGGGGTGATGGTGCATGACTGTGTCTTTTATATGCTTCATCACGCAATACCCACATTCAATATTGTTTTATGGTTATTGTGAGCACTGTAAAAGAAATTAAAATTAAAACTGATCAGAAAAATAAACTATATATAGTTACTTCAATCACTAGTCAATGAGAAAATATATATATATATATATATATATATATATATATCATTAGTCTCCTTCATGGAAACGCGTTTTTGAATTGGTTGCTTTTGGGTGGGGGATTTTCAAGCTTAGTTTGTGTACGTTTACAACCACAGCTTCGAAAATAAATATATAAAAAAATTTGATGATGATAAGAACTATATATAAATATCCTTGTTCAATAATTAAAAGAAAATTAAACGTATTAATTCGTTGAACATCCCGTCATATGCAACCGATAGTCCGGAAAGCAGATAAGAGAATCAAGGTACCAAGTCTTTTGCCTCAATGGATTCAGTACAATGAGCACCCAGTGGCCCCTGATTAGATACAAGAATCAAAATTGAAACAATTAATAATAATCATACCAAAACAATTTACATTTAAGAAAATTAAGTAGTAATTTGACCCCAAAAAAAAAAAAGAAAAGAAAATTAATATACCCATCTTTAGCTTTAAGGTGCCAAGAAGAAAGTGTAATTCATCTCTACAGCCCTTTTAATGAAGGAATCTGCTAGATTCCTCAATTGAGTACCATCACGGAGGAAAATGTCATGGGGACAAATGAACTTAAATCTATTAGAGCTGAAGGGAACTATGTGATTTAGGTATAGGAACCTTAAATGCCAAAACAAACATATCGATGTAGAAGTAGCTAAGTATAAATAATCATGGTTGCAAGTTCGTGCCGCTTACACACGCCATATCATGCTTCAAGAGTATGAAAGTACTTCTTTGCAAATAAATTCCCACTAGAGTCATCATAGACCTTTGTCTCAAACCCCACCTTCAAATAATAATCGCCTCCAATCGCTCCAGTGACTATCGTTCCATGATCTTCAAGACGTTTTCGAGCTGTCAATGACTTTGGCTTAGGCTGTTTATTGGTCTTTTCATTGCATGATATTGAATCGAAATCCTTCAGCATGCTCTTTGGCTTCTTAGCCTAAAAAACATATCCGCTCCAAAAGCAAAAAGCTCATAACAATGAAATTTTCATTAAGTAAGAACACTAATTATATAATTCTCATATAATCAATTTACTAAACTACTTTCCTAATGTTCCAAAAGCAAAAAGTTAATAATTAGTTTTTTTAATTAAACTAAAAGAAGGACGCATCTTCCATCAATCACTCATAAAATAAAGCTGCTATTCATACAATTACTTGATATCTCTCTTGATTCGCTCATTGAGATTTAATGGGTTTTGACCTTTGATCCTCATGATCCTCCTCATGTGCTTACATTGTGCAAACTAAAATATCCATACTCATATTGCAAAGTAATATTTACTTCAATTATGAGCTTGCGTCATTCCTGAACAAAAAACCGATCATATCGACACTACCAATCTTGTCATCACCATGGGTTCTTATTCATCCAAATTTGCATACAATATATATCATTCCTCTGGTCCTTAATATAAGACATGTTTAACTAATTTAATTAGATTAAAAAAGTTAGGTAAGTTAGTTAATTATAAGAAATATGATATGTTTTTCTTAAAATACCATAATCATCTTCCTTAATATCCTCTCTCCCACTTCTACTTGATTATGATTGAAGGAATATCCATAAAAGTAATTTAGAAAAAATTGATAAATATGATAAATATGTCTTATATTTAAGACTAAAATCAACTTAACAATTAAGTTATATATTAAACACCGGAGGAATATAATAAAATTGGATGCTATAGTGTAAGTATAAAAAGATAGTCGTTGTGTAATCATTGATAATTACTGATGTTTATGGTCCACAAGTTGAATAGCGGAATAGAGGTCATGAGAAAATAAGCAAAACAGTCTGTACAAACTGAAGGAGGGAGAATAATGATCTGAATACATGTACCGTCCTCAAATTCTTGCTTGGCTAGCTGTTCAGGGGCGCCAGAGTTGCGTATTCCTGCTGTTTCTTTATGGTGGAGAGGGTAAAAGATTCCTGCTACGAGAATTTTATGCATCGGCCTCGGCAGGAATATACAGAAGGATACAAACTTTCTCCGCGTCCATAGATGGCTGAAAGTGGAATACAGTTCATTGAAGAACTGTCGGGATGATGGGAAAAAAAGTTAATAACTTTTCAGAAACGAGTTCTTCTTTGAGGCATGATCCACACTCGCTTCTCTGCCAGCAAAATCTCTCAAAACAAGCTCCACCTCTTCCACCACCCCAAGTTTTCGGAACCACCGAGCTAATATCTCTGAACCTTCTTTCTGAACAACAATGCCATCTCTCTCCAAATCCATCAGAAACCCTAACGCTTCATTAAGCTTGTTTTCCTTTTCATATGCAACCAATACTAAAGCTATGCATTTATCTGAAGCTTCAATACCTGCTCTTCTCATATTCTCAAATGCAATTCGAGCTTTTCGACTTTGCCCAGCTTTTCCATAGGCATTGATAACAAGCCCACACATTTTATCATCAGGGCAGATACCGGCCAACTGGATTGCATCAAAAACCCTTTCAGCTCCTTCAGTATCGCCAGCCATAGAGTAGCCTCTTAGTAATGCTTTGTAAACTTCACTGCCTGCATGAATCTCTTGTGCATCCATTTCTTTAAGTAAACTTTCCGCTTGTCGAGGCATGCCAGCTCTGATGTAGGCCATTATCACTGAACCATATGATCTTTGATCCAAAGGTTCTCCAAGCAATGTGATCTCCTCGAAATATTCCATGGCCTTCTGAAGATGATCAGCCTTACTGTACATGTGAACCATGGTAGTCAGAGTTACTTGATCACAGATGAAGCCCCTTTGTTTCATGACCATAAGAAGATTTTCAGCATCTTGAAGTCGATTTTGTTTGCCATAATAATGGATTATCTTCGTATAATCACGAGCATTTGCTTCAAATGATTCTTCTACAAGCGCATGTTCTGCCACCTATGCCAGAGTTTCAGTTCAGGTTACGAGGAATACATATACAAGGTTTCATTCAAATGCAAGTATATGTGCAAAAAATTTTTCCATAGTCAAATTTGAATGGCAACAATCAAGAGAGTAAATCACCATAGGTGGACAAATTTACGTATATGAAATTAAAGATACTAGCATGAAGTGAAAGGGGGTTCGGACAAGAGTATGACATAAATCAGTGAAGCAAAGTGATTGACTGAATACAGGAATGGGAAATTCAAATTTCTTTACAACGGACAACATAGAACAAAGGAAGCCTCTACCAAATATATTTCCTACAATGGTAGAAACTTGTGTCTTGTATCAAAAAAAAAAAAAACAGAAACAAACAAACAACAAACAACAAGCCTTATCCCACTAAGTGGGGTCGGCTACATGAATCACACGACGCCATCGTGCTCTGTCAACAACCCAATCCTTAGATATGTTGTTGATTAGGAGGTCTCGTTCAATGACCTCATTCAGCGTTCTTCTCGGTCTTCCCCTACCTCTTTTTATGGGACTCCATCTTGTTTGATCCACCCTCCTCACCGGGGCCTCCAAAGGCCTTCTCTGCACATGTCCAAACCATCTTAAGCGATTTTCAACCATTTTCTCTTGGATAGGTGCCACACCGACTCTTGTCCTGATCTTTTCATTTCGAATCCTATCTTTTCTTGTATGACCACACATCCATCTCAACATCCTCATTTCTGCTACTCCGACTTTGTGTTCTTGTTTTCCCTTTATTGCCCAACATTCACTACCATACATCATAGCTGGTCTTATAGCAGTCCGATAAAATTTTCCTTTAAGTTTCTTAGGTACCTTCTTATCGCAAATAACTCCGGTAGCTTTCCTCCACTTTAACCAGCCAGCTTGTATTCTATGAGAAATGTCTCCATCAATTTTCCCATCCTCCTGTATAATGGATCCTAGGTATTTAAACTTTGATACTTGAGGAATAATTTGCTCTTTTTTCTTTTTTTTTTAACTGCAAAAATGATGTAGTTGTTCCATTACTCAACATAAAGATTCATAATTCATTGGATTGACAAGCAAAACTAAAAAATTTAGAATTTTTCCAACACATGCCATACACCCCAGATTGTCTTGGACACAGTTCTTCATATTGTATTAAAAATTTAAAAAAAAGTGATGATATTGTAACAAAAAAGAAAAAGCAGATGATATAAAATAGAACTAGTAAACCTCCCCCATGTTTATCCAAGAATTTACTAAAAGTCAAATTTTTTCCATAGCAAAATATTTCAGCATACTTAGTTTGTTTTGTTGGACGTAGGCCTAAAGCCCGAAGTTAGAATATAGGTGCAGAACACATGTGGAGGGGGTGTTTTGGGTTGCTGATTGATAGTTAGAATAGAGGGGGATATATTGTGTGAGAGCTGGATGAAGAGGGCATGGAAGATATCGGGATGTGGTTGGAGAGTCTGCGCCTCTAGAAAGCACGATAGAGTAGTTTTCTCTTACCCAGTGTATGCTCCATACAACTTACACTCGGGAGAGAAACTTTTACAGTTGAATAATGCTATTTTCTGGTGCTATCCCCATCAAAGTTATCAAAGCCTTCCTTCTTGAGAATGGTAAAGAGAAGAACGGGGTTGGATGGTCTTGAACTTGTTTGCTGCAAACTGAGCAGAATGTTGAATGCTTGACTGGAGATATTACGTCTGTCAAATGCAATATGGCTACTTTGAAGTCCTCAGTGGCTGAATTGGTTACAGAACTGCAGGCTACCCAACACTCAGCCAAAAATGATTGCTCACACACGTCCTTCAATCATCAAAATTGGTAGTGAAAATTGGTGGTGAAGACTCCAATCTTTCTTGTTACTCTAAGCTAGACTTGCCTCTATGCGTTGGCGATGAACTGCTAGGGTGGATTTTCAAAGCGAAGTGCTACTTCAAGCTTAAAAAACTGGCCGGTTCTAACTTGATGCTGCTGTTCTTTGTATTAAGGGGTGTGCTCTCAATTGGTTACAATGGAGGTAAGTACGCTCACCGTTGGCAGATTAGAACAATCTCAAATGTGACTTGATTCTCCAATTCCCTCCTTCGCAATTTATAATGTCTATGAGATGTTAATGGCTGTGCGCCAACACTGTAGTGTTGCAAAACACATTGAGAGATTGGAACCCCTTTTTGCTACTTTGGGTAGCTATGACGAGATTCCGATTGGGGTGTTTATGAATGGCCTGAAACTTGACATCAAGGCTTACTCGTGTTTGCTCTTACTTCAATTGCCATCTAAATAAATGGACATGGCTTTGCACTTGGAGGAGCACAATTTGGTCTCAGCCCAACATCATGAACCATATGATAAATTGGACCAACGAGGTTTTGGGCCAAAGACATATTGAGGAAGCCACAACAGGATGTGCATCAAGCATTCAAACATGCACCTCTATTTGCTCATGAATGTTGATCACCACTTAACTACTCAAAGTCACTGGGTATTTAATCTTTGTGACAGAGTTAAGCAGATTAGCCGAGCATATTAGAATCTAAGTGAGCTCAGATTATAATACGCCTACTCTTTGCCTAGCCATTAGGGGTGAGCAAAACAGAACCGGAGTTGAAAACCGAACCGAACCGAACTCATTTCAATTATTTTGGTTCATTTATTTTGGTTTTTAATTTTTTTCGGTTATTTTATTCGGGTATTTCAGTTATCGATGCTCGATTCGGTTTTCTCAAAAATAATTCAGTTAGCACCGAAATAATCAAAATTATTTGAATAAATTATTATTTTTATATTTCTCTTCCTACCCAGTCACGGAGTCACCCACTAACCACTGACCACTCTTATTTTCTTTTGACTAATTGACTCCATGTCACATAGGACCCATATTGGCACACTCAACTCTTCTCCACCTCACCTCAATTCACGCCCTCTACCCTCAAACTATCACAATATCACTCTCTCAGACTCTCAACAACTCCCATCTGGCTGTCTCTAAACTCTCAAGCCCTAATCTCACAGCCACAAGTTGGCGGTCGACTAATTGTAGCTTAAATCTCAACAACTCCCTTCATTCTTTCAAGTTTCGATCTACACACCTGAGCTTAGCCGTCGCAAAGTTCAGACTTCAGACCTACAAATCACAGCTTCGATCGGTCATCACAGATCGCCGCAATCCCCTCCCTTTCCCTCCTCTGTCCTCACTCTCTCACCATCAGTCTTCATTCTGGTAAGGTAAGACATGGTGAATGTTGTATATCAGTGCGACATTGTGATAAGTATGCTATTATGAACATTCAGATTTCAGAGTTCCAAGTTTCATGTCATTTACCTTTATTGTGGACTACTCGTTCTAATAAACTTTGCTAGAAGTTGGGCTAAATAAGAGAAAGTTGTTGGAAGCATGAGTGAGTTAGTCTCTTTGCTTTGTAGCTATTTGATTCAGGTTCCACTTTGCTCTATATTCTATAACATATTCCCTTTCTGGCTCAGGCCTTCGTGTGTGTATAACTGTTGCTTTGGAAGTTCTTTTCTTCTTTCTTTTTTCCTCCCTTCTACTTTTGAATGTAAAGACGCTATGTGAATGATAAATGATGTTCATAAATGCAGCTTCAATATTTCCTGCTTTTACTGCATCCTATACCAAGAATTCAATCTATTTAGCAAAGTCTTGCAACACATTCCCTTTCTGGATTTGGCCTTCGTGTGTGTATAAATTAAGTCTTGCTGCATATATAATTTTCTCAAATCAGAATTGAAAAAGGGCACGTTTGATGATGGTGTAATTGATATTTTAAAAAAAAAAAAAGATATCTTCTCATGGTGAAACTATGGGTGATGCTTAAGCTAGGGATGATGGTACTCCTCAAACAACGAAACCTTCAATGCCAATAGCAAGTGGGACTACAAAAAGAAAAAGCATGAAATCAAGATCAAAGGTTTGGGAGCATTTCACCAAATTTGTGAATGAGAGGTGAAATTAGAGATAAGTGCAACTATTGTGAAAAAGATCTTGCATGTGATTCAAAAGCTAATGGAACCACTACACTTAACAACCATTTGACTACTTGTAAATTAAACCCCCCTCCTGAAGAACTTGCACAATCTCACTTCAACTTTAATGTAGATGACAAAATGAGTCTTACTAATTGGAAATTTGATTAAGATGCTATTAGGAAAGCCTTATCATGCATGATTATTACTGATGAATTACCTTTCAAGTTTGTCGATGGGGATGGGTTTAGGCAAGTTATGTCAATTGCTCAACCTAGACTTAAAATTCCATCAAGATGGACTGTTGCTCGTGACTGTTTTGGGATTTACATTGATGAAAAAGTTAAATTTAAAAACAATTTACTGCATAAGAGGTAAAGGGTTTGCCTCACCACTGACACTTGGACTTCCATTCAAAGAATCAATTATATGTGCATTACTGCTCATTTTATAAATGATGCATGGACATTGACAAAGAGGATTTTAAATTTCATTCCTATTTCTAGTCATGAGAGGAAGGATATTGGAATGGAAATGGAAAAATATCTACTTGAATGAGGAATTGAAAAGGTGCTCACAATTACTGTGAACAATGTCAGTTCTAATGATGTCATGGTTTAATATTTAGAACAAAAAATTATGAATTCGGGTCACTCAATTATGAAATGTCAATTCTTGCATATGAGATGTGTTGCACACATAATCAACTTGATTATTACTGATAGGTTGAAAGAAATAAGGAGTTCTGTGAAAAAAGTTAGAGAAGCTATTCGCTTTATCAGACAATCACCTCTTAGGATGAGAAAGTTTAACGAGAGTTGTGTGGATGAAAAGATTCAAAGTAAACAAATCTTATGTTTAGATGTCCCTACTCGGTGGAACTCTACCTATTTGATGTTAGAAACTGCTCAAAAATTTGAGGCAGCTTTTAAAAGGTTTGAGGATAAATATCCTTATTTTCGATTTGATCTTCAAGATGAAGAGGGGGTGCCTGAGTCTGAAGATTGGAAGAATGTTAGGAAGATGATTATGACATTGGGCCATTTGTATGAGCTTACTGTGCAGATATCTGGCTCTTTATTTGTAACATCTAATACTTTTTTCCGTGAAATTTATAAGCTATATCGTTTTTTGGACGAGTGGAAAAAATGTGATGTTTGGGAGTTGGCTTCCATGGCAAACAGAATGAAAGAGAAATTTGATAAGTATTGGAGAGATCTTATGAAGATTAATCAACTTCTTTACATTACTGCTGTTCTTGATCCTCGATATAAATTAGATTGGGTGCAATTTGCTTTATGTAAAATGCACACAAGCGCAATTAGTACAAGTTTTGGGATGTATATTAAAGAACTTTTTATTTCCCTGTATAATAAATACAAACACACTTTTTCCCCCTCAACCCAATCTGAAAAGGAGTCATTGCATAGCACACAAGATGATTGTGATGAGATGATGATCCTGCTGCGAAAGTCAGAAAATTGCTTGATATTGAGGAACAAGAGTTCATAAATGAACATCTTGGTAGAAGAACTAGCAGAATTGAGGTTGATAGATATTTAAATGAAGAAATTGAGATTAATAAAGATGATTTTGATATTTTAGGTTGGTGGAAGCTAAATGGTCCTAAATTTCCTATTTTTTCTCTAGTGGCAAGAGATGTTTTGGCTATTCCAATTTCTACGTTTGCATCAGAGTCTACATTCAGTACTGAAGGACGAGTTCTGGATTCATTTAGGAGCTCTTTAACTCCTAAAATTGTGCAATCTCTAATTTGTGCTCAAGATTGGCTTAGACGCTCAATTCAACATGTTGTAGAAGAAGGAATGATGATATCCAAAAGATAGAACTTGGTAATATTTTATTTTTACTTCATAACATTATAAGAATAATATAATGCTTGATTTATTATAATATATGAAGTCTGATTTTGTTTTTCTTTGTGTAGATTTGCAAAAAATTGCATTGGAGGCAACCGTTGATGTACTATAGATGCAACAGGGAAAAAACTTAGAAGTAAACAAATCTTGTGCTTAATTTGTTTGTTTTTTCTTTAACTCTAAAGTTGTGCACTCTCTAATTTTCTTGTTTAATTGTAGTTGTTGGTTGCTTGATGGCAAGTTGTATGCAAAGAACTTAGGGACAACTAATGGCTGGAATTTCAAGCTGCCTTGTGGAATTTCAGGGAAAAAACTTGCGTGATTCTCCACCAGCAATGTCAAATCTTTTCTTTGACTGAATCTATTCTAGATTGCTTGCTGAATGCTATTGTAATATTTTGGGTTACTTATTTGATTTCTACCATGTGATGGTGGGGTGTTGAATGTCTTCCTCCTCATATCATTGGTTTTTGCCCTCAGATGGTGGTTCTTTTTGTTCATTGATAGTGGTTCATGAATCATGATGGTTCTTCTAGCCATGCCTTGCGCTAGCTTTGATGGTTACTTTTTGAATTTCATGGGTGTTCTGGTCTTTTCATGGATATTAAATTTTGGGAGAATTGCAACTACATATTTACAACTTGTCATTGACTTTTTGATAATTATTCTGTCTCACAATATATGTAATGTGTAATAAGATATATTTGATTTTGGAATTTAAAACTTCTATTACACCTTTCAAATATCCAAATTCTATGTATAAAAAGAGCCCAAAAAATCATTAATTCCCACTATTTAGACTTCTTGTGCATACTGGGCTGGAATAATGCTTGAACAAAAAAAAAAGGCCCAATAAAAGCCCAATAACTGAATGAGCCCACTAACCAGACCGAATATATTTCAGTTATTTCAGTTCGGTTAGTTTACTGTGTTCGGTTTCGGTTCGGTTTCTTAATTGTGATCATTTAGGTTATTCGGTTATTTCGGTTATTGACACTAACCGAACCGATTAACTGATTACTCAGCCCTATTAGCCATAGCAGAGTTTGCAATTCTGAGCTTTCTTTTCCCAACAAATATATTTCATATTGAATGCTGAGGCACATCGTCAAATATGCATCTCAAAGTCCACAAACACAGTTCTATTAAGAAACCATTGCCATACAAGCGGTTTCAAAAGTAGCTTGTAAAAAACTAGATTACAATATGCACTGCAACTTTATATAGCCGTCCTACAATTTGTGTTAAGGAAGTTAATATTTATCATGGAATTTCAAGGTTTAGAAATAGTCAGTACCATTCACTAAGTAAAAGAAAGGAACAGAAAAATAGGTCAGTCGAACCATATTCCTCGGCAAAGTTATAAATGGCTGCATAACTACATACAATGTCCATCAGACATATATAAACAGGATAGCATCAGACACAATAGCCCCTTGATTCTGACAAAAAACAAAAAACATTATCCATAACATGGAGAAGGAAAAAAAAAAACCAATAGAAAAGTATAGAATCCCCAACCAGTTGGACTTATCGCCCCTGCTCGGACAGGTAGCGAAGATTATCTATTTTACTTAAACTTTTCCACATACGGGCCCACGAAAACTTTGGTTAAGATTTAAACTTTCATCTAAGGTACAAAAGTCCCACCAAGAAAAGAAATCTTGACCAACGAATTAAGAGCTAAAATTGATGGAAACAATGAAACTTTTCAACATTTTTATTTAATTAAATAATAAATAATTGTCACCAGTATAAGAATGTAGAATCTTAATATATAGTTGGCATCCCATAGCAGGCAAAAAGTACATTTTATTTGAATAAAATTTACATATGTATGATAGGCTGAAGTTTAAATTAATGGGAATTCACCACATGTATTTTCCATTCAATATCCAGAAATTTCCACATTGCATGAGCAATTAGATAAGGACCTCAGCTCTCTAAAGGAGAAATGTCTATACTCCAGTCCTGAACATCTTACTTTCCATTATTTCAAAATAAACCAATAAGATATTAGAAATAACAGGGAACGGAAGCATCATTACACATCAGATGGAAAAGCAATATGTCAAATTCCAAACACATTCAATAGATACAGAACAAATGAAAAAATACTCTTTAAATGAAATACGATGAAAAATACCTGAAGGTAAAAAGGATGATCCATCGTTTTCAACTCTTTAAGAACAGAAAGCCAGTCAGCTCTAATAGGCTTCATGATCCTCACCCAAGCCCCCAACAGATCAGACATGTTTCCCTTCTCAGGAGAAAAGCATATAATCCGTCTCATCAGGGCCTTACAACGTTTTTCCATCTTGAAAGGAAGTTGAGATATGGCTTGTTTTTGTGCTTCTGTAGTGTCATGGCCTATCTCAACCCATCTAAACTCTCTCCGGTTTTCTTCTAGCAATTTTGACTTTACAATGTCCTCCTTACTGATCCTTACTTTTAATGAAACAAACTGGTGTTTATGGAAATCCGAAGATCCAAGTTTCCAAAGTAATGAATTTCCACCAATATGATTGCCATAAAACCCAGCTCTATCATTAGTTACTGAGAGACTTGAGAAGCAACAATTGGATAGTAGCGGATAGGAATTGGTTCCCATCATTGAAATAATACAGAACTCCGTGATCTCAAATATTCATCCAGAAGCTGGAGGAACATAAGGAGAATTATCTAATTAATGAAACAAGTGGAGCGGGAGAGCGCAATAAAATAAAACCACAGCCTACGAATCTAAAGCACTCCATTGGAGTGAGACACTGAAAAATGCTTCCAAAAGTCACTTGTCAAAGAAAAAGAAAAATATATTTACATAAAAAAAAGTGCCTACAAAATCTATTTTTAACGCCATTGCACAAAAACTAACTCAGTTTTTTCTTTTTTGGCTTTTTTTTTGGAGGGGTGGGTGGGTAGCATTGTATCAAATATTAAATATTAAATAACCTTTTTGTCAGCAATCGATCAATGACAAACTTTGAGTCCTCTTACAGTCTCTGTTTATTTTCCTCCTCTGAAAGTGTTGTTTAAAGTGCTATACGCCATAACAATATTTATGACACCCCTCCCTTTCAAAAAGAACCCCAAAAAAAAAAAAAAACAGAGAGAAAGAGCACAAAGACAAATCAGATTCCTACTTTCAGAACCCATTTGGTTGGGTGAAATTTTATTGCGGGAAATGGAAATCAACCTCCCATGAATTTAAAACCACCAGTTTTCTATTACCTCTATCAGTGCTGTCACCTGTGGCACCAATTCCCTCTTCTCCGTCAACTCTCTCAGTCCCCTAGCTACATCTAATGCATCCAAAACCATCGCCCCCCAAAAACACCAAGCCTTTATTCATGCTGTCCAACATAATTCATCTTGTTATATAAACCAGTAGGGAAAGCCAATTCTAATCCAGGTTATCTGAATTAGATGATATTATTCCTCACTTTACATGTACTCCAGTGAAAGGGGTGAGGGACACTTGTGCAGTTCATGTTTATAAGAAGAAATTAACACCAAGTAAAACAAACGAATGGACACAAGTTTTACCCAAATTTGACAAGGGCTTCACTGTAAAGTTCAGAGTCACGTGATTAGGCTAATAGATTTCCATGTTATTCTAATGCCATTGCCAAATGACCCCTCATACCCAAGAACAAAAATAAAGAAGTTATAGCAGCTTTTGAAAAGTATACACGGATAAGTAGATCACAGAACATATTCTATTAGAGAATGAAAGGAAAAGAAAATTTCTTCTCTTCTCATTTGTACAAAGAGTTTCCCAGTCCTTAAAATTGATTTCCGGGAAAATTAATCAACCAATTCTCATAAATCAAGTCCATGTCATTTGAATTGGACTCTTATAGCTTGACATACTATAGGCATCCATCCTGAGGGAAAATTCTTTATAACACTGTTAATGTTAATGTATAGTTGGAGCCTACCTTAGCAGACCCGAGGATAATACTTGGATAACTAAGTGAAGTGGCAGCCAGGTGGATAATTTAAGTGATCTGGAAAATTAAAAATCCCTACCACTAGTTGCACCCCACCTCAAATGTCCGTCGCGTTCTCATCACGATTATTATATCCTCTTGTTAAAGATTTTAATCCCAACAAAAAGCCATCGGTGGATCATACATCAGTGGCAACCGACTCAATCCAGTTATTACAAACAAGAAACCCTCCTGAGGCTAGCACGCCAAAATAGGCCTTTCACCAACATTCAACAACTTCAACCAAAGAAAAACAGGAGGTTTCATTAAGTTGAATGCAGGGGGAAAAAATTACCGTTTCACGGAATATATATATATATATATATAGAGAGAGAGAGAGAGACACACACACACACACAATGCTATTGTGGGCATTAAATGACTGTGGAAAAAGCACAAAAATAATTTGAATTTTTCATAATCACAGGGGAAGTTATATGCGTGATACGAAGACAATGTGTGAACATTCCAGTATAATCTCCAAGGAAATGCAGAAACTTTCAAGAGAAAGACATGCTCACCTGGCACTAGAGCGCGCGCAACAACGATGGCGGAGGGCGGAGGCAGAAGGGCGGACGAGGTCGAGGAAGAAGGAAACAGAACGGCGGAGGCGCAAGGACGAAGGGAACAGTGAAGAGTGAAGAGACGATGAACGGTGAAGCAAATCTGCGAAGTGAAGGGGAGGTAAGTGCGTGTTGCGTAAGCGTCGCCGAACTCGCGGACGGAAGCAGATCCTGTCCGTTCGGATTATCCAATAACTTACCAACTGCTGTTATTGGGAGATGTTTGGCTTCTTTAAAAGCTATTCTTAAAAAATATTTTTATAAATTGAGATAAACACATCTAGATATTTAATTCATATACTATAAAAGTATTTTTAAAATTATGGTTTTGATTCCATCCAAATATCTCTTTAATGTAAGAACTTATCAAATTTTTTATTTTGATCTTAAATATAATATTTTAATTTATTTTATTTTTTATATTTATTTTTTTAAGTAGTTTTTATAATATTCTTGATTAGTAAAAATATTTTAAAAAAGACACCACCTATTTATTACAAATAATTAAGTTAATTAATTTTATTAAACTACTCAAATTAATTAATTAGCTTATATATTAAAAAACGAAGTTAATATGATGCACTATCATCAAGCTATTAAAAATGAATCTTTCCCATTCATCTATTGTAATCCTAACCACGGTCCTTCTACTTCTACTAACGGGAGTTTAACTTCACGAGAAATCACATTCTCCTCATTCTATCATCAAATAGGTAGGCTTCTTTATTGCCTCTCAACATCACTTGACAAGAGATCTTAACTTTGTTTTTTTATTTTTGTTGTTAATTTTAGGTTTATTTCGATATCACTTTTTATGGCTTTTTAGGATGTCATTTTATTTTACTGATTATTTGTAACTTATAAACTTATATTATCCAATATTATTTTGTCTTTTTCTTTAAAAAAAATAGATATGCTTCAACATTCTCCCACATTTTGCTAGCTTCATTTATATGAAATAAATATATTAGCTTGGATGGCTACTCACCTTCATACAAAAGGGGTAAGGCAAAAAAATCACTGTTTTTTTCCTTTGAATTGTTGAAATCTGAGAGAAAAACAATGATTTGAAAATTTTTTAGAGAGATAACTAAGGCGGTAATAAATCACTCATATTTTTTAAAACAACAGATAGTATTTTTTTTACATTTTTGTAGAAATGTCACAAAAGTTACTATTGTAAAAAAATTTCAACACAAACTTCTCTTTATTGAGGAAAGCTTTTTTTCATTTTGTTGCATCTATCTACTATAAATTTTCTTTCATGTGTGAATTTTTTTTTTGTTCCCCATTGCATCTTTTTTTATGTTTGATTTTTGTTAGGATGTTTTTTAATTTATGTAGTTTCAAATTTTATTAGAAGTTTTGCTATGTGTGTTACATAAATGTATTTTGTAGGTTTCAATCTATGGTAGCTAATTTGACTCCTAGATTAGGAAAAGAATTTAATAATTAAGTTTGGAATGAATATGCTTGTAGAGAAGGCTTTAGTGTAAGGAAAAATGGGTCAACAAATAGTAAGAAAGGAAAAAAAAAACAGTTAAAGCGTAAATATACCCATAAACTTTTACCAAATGTGTGCCTAGCATCATGAATAAATCTTGAGTATAAAAATACATATGATATTTTCAAAAGATAGCAAAAATGTCATAACAGTTAATTATTACAATGTTAACTATTTGTGTTGACCGAAGATAATGATGTGAATATTGATGTGGCTTAGAGGATATGATAAAAGGGGGGGTTAAGGTGCAAATACACCTAAGAACATTTGCCAAATATGCACCTAACACCATAAACAAACTTTGGGTGCAAAAATACTTGTGAAGCTCTCCATGTCACCCACTCCTTCATTTCATCCCTCTCATTCTCTCGTGTTCTAAGAAGAATAGTGCTACTCTCTTAGCTCCACTTTAGTCTTCATCAACAAATAACTAGAGGAGATATGATAAGAGTAACTAAGAGGGTAGTACTATTGTTCTTCGAAAAGGATAGACTTAGAAAAATGAAATAAAGGAGTAAGTTTTTTGGATAGCTTCAGCTTATCTCCTCTTCAATGAAAGTGCGACAGTGAAGAGAGAATGTTGTTGGGATCAGAGGGAGATTGAAATGCCAGCTTAGGATCCGTGTCATCTTATTTGATCAAATGTTTTACTCAGAAGATCAACTTTGATGAATTAAATGACTATAGCATTTTAGGGTTCTTTTAGAATGATTATAAACATTTTTGCACTAAAAGTTTGTTTATAGTATCAAGCACCCATTTAGGAAAAGTTCATATGTATATTTTCACCGTTACTCTTTTTTATCTAACCCTCTAAGACACATCAGTATTCATGTCATCATTTTCGATCAAATAAGTAGTCAACATTACAATAGCTAATAGTCATGGTATTTTTGTAACTTTTTGAAATCTTCATGTGTATTTTTACATTCAATATTTTGTTTGTGGTGTCTAGCGCATATTTGGTAAAATTTCATTAATATATTTACACTTTAACCCAAAGACAATGGCTGCTTCTAGATATGTTTGTTCAAAAGAAGGTGAACGAAAACCAAATAAAAGGTCACCTCGGCTATAATCATCGTGTTGAGACCAAGAGTAATTGTAAAGTTGAAATGACAGCTAATTGGCAAGATAAATCCAAGATCACTAGCTTTATGGAAGAGTATAACCATCCATTACATCTTCAAGAAATTGTGCATATGATGAGGTCTCAACACAAAATAAGTAATGCACATGCAGATGAGATTGATTTAGCTAGGAATGCTAGAATTAAACAAAAAGCAATATTTGACCTTATGAGTAAGCAAACAAGTGAGTAAGTTGTGACATCCCAATTTTATTTCTAGGATTTAAGAAATATTAAAGAGGAATTATTGCATGGTAAATAGAATTTACCATATAATTATTTGAGAAAATGTATCCAAAATAAATTAAATATCAGAGATATAAATATGATCTCAAGTCATAATGCTAGAAAAGAGATAAAAGAGAAATAATAAAGTTCAATAAACATAGATGAAGTAGTTTTCACCTAAAAATTTTAGTTATCTAGATATTATAGGTTGAAATTGTCAATTAAGTTTAGGGAGGATCCAATTAAATCTAATTAAAATACTAAATTCCTAATTAGGCCATGAGACCTCATTAAGAATTTTTGAATGTTATTAAATGATCAGAATATCTCTATTTAATTTAAAAAATTAATTATCTTACCCCTCCCAAATGGTTACTCTTTTTTCTTATGATTATTTTTTGAGACAAAGAAACACATAAATAATTTTATAATGTTTAAAATTTGTATATATAACTAAAACCTCTAAACTATTTTAATCAAACATTTTAAATTACAATATAAGTAACTTTTAAATAAATATTTTGTATTTTAAGTTGTAAATATTTATTTTTAAGATTTTAAAACATCTTAATTACAAGAAATATTTTATATTAAGTTGTTACAAATTACAATTTTGGGTTGGAATCCAATGTTTGCTTAAACAAATAGAGCTAGCGTAAATTATAAGAACATAATATTAAATATTTTTTGTAATTAAAATATTTAAGATCTTAAATAAATATTTACACTCATAAAATAAAAAACATTTATTATAAGGCTATATATATTCAAATTTAAAATGTTTTATTAAATGTTTTTGAAGATTTTAGTTATATATATACAAATTTTAAACACTACAAAAATAAGAGGTGAGAGATCACTTGGGGAGTAAAATAATCAATTTTTCATTTTAATTAATGAAAAACTTCTGGCCATTTAACAACATTCAAAAATCCTAAATTAAGACTGATATCCTAATTAGGGATATTAAAATATAGGCCTTAATTTGAATTTAGGTATTTTAATCAAATTTTATTGTGATTTTTTCTGAAGTTTAATCTTTTAGATTTTATGAGAAGCTTAGAGAAGCATAAAGATTACGGAAGAGAATTTAAGAATTTATAAGACCAAAAGTCAAAAAAAAAAAAAAATTTAAACAAGAGAGCCCATTAACTGACCTAACATGCCATAATATATAAGCGTGGTATGTTAATCAAAACCCCACCCCTAGTAGCGTTAGCTGCAAGTGAGTGAGGGAGAGCGAGTTTTATTATCCGCAACAGCTACGTCGGGGG